GATATGCTTCACTCAGAAACTTCCTTGTAAGAAAGTAAAATGAAGAAGACTAATGTAGCACTTGATTTTGAAAATATGTTTGTTCTGGCAAAAAAAGAAACTTCTGTCTACTGATTCTGGTCATTACTATGTTCCTTTAAGTAAGCCTTTGTCAAATGCTAATTAAATGAGAGAATTGTTATTTGTGAGAAAATTGGAAGACAAAAAACAAAAATTAAAATAGCAGAGAAACTGCATAAACAGTGATAAAAATGTGCTCATCAGTAAAAAAAAAATGCTTGATACTGTGGTTTTTGATATTCTGAGAGACATCACAACTAAATGCTATATGTTCTTATGCTACATTAAGGTTGAGCCAAAGCCCATTGTAGGTTTTCCTTTATCTTCCCAATTTAATGAAACTGTAGTGCCATGGAGGATATAAAGGAAATCAAAGAAAATAAGCTGCTGCATATGATTTGATCATTCCACAAGGTTTAGTGAAGCAACAAGATTTAGCAGTAAAGAATTGTATGAGATTTATTGGTATGGTGTTTAGATTCTGGATTTCCTAATTTGGTGCTTCTGTCACACATCTGATAGATAAAAAGAGAGAATTTAATAGTGAGTTCAGAGACATGCAAAAAAAAAACATTGTAAAGACTACTGCAGCTCATAACAATGGGTTCAGTAAGTGTCATAATGATAGCATGTTATGGAGGCCATGTAGATCTCTGATTCCTCGCCACATTCTGTGTTGTTTGCACCACTGCGACTGCCAGTCTCTCTTCCAGTACTTCATCTTTCATAATTGCTTGTGCTTGAGTCAATAGCTGACCAACAGACAACTCGTCCATCTTGGTTGAAGCATTTATCCAAGTTGAAAGTTCAGAAAAACTGTAGAGAGCTTTATATCATGAAATTGAATTCACAAATGGTGATATGGTTTATTTAAAAGGGGATGGAACAGAGAATTGGATGTGACCAGGTGATCTTATCGAGAGTGATATTAAGCAGATTCTTGTGAAACATGGAGGTAATGCTACTACAACAATTCAAGTTAAATTCTGTCTGATAATGTGAAAACAATTTTGGTAATTCACATGTAGAGAATGTTGAAGATTTTCAAAGCAAACAGTCTGAAGATTTCTCTGAAAAAGCATACCAGGAAGAAATTAGAGATCCTCATGTGACAATCAATGGTGAAACTTAAACGAAACATAAACATAAGTGTAAAGCCAAAATTAATCTTTTCAAAGCCTGGACAGAACATATTGTGTAAATCGAATGCTGATGGTAATAAATGAAGGTAAGAAGATCATGATGCCCTCTGGCTAGATTTCAAATGCAGGGTCACTGAATGGAAGAAAGATGAAGAAGATACCAATTCATTTGATAATACTGTAAATGAAGATAATGCTTTTGAAATTATGCCAGAAGACATGTATTTTCTTTTATAATACCTGAAAATGAAGATCATATCAAGAAGTCTGATTTAAGAATTGGAAAGACAATTTCTACTTGGAAATTCCAGACGCTGGGAAAGGATAGAATAGAAACAAGATGGGTTTACACAACCAAGGAAACTCTAGAATTTATGAAAGCACAGCCAAATAATTCCAGGGCTCAGATACCAAATGTAATTTAAGTAATACTCTTTATTCTGTTTTGATTTCCTAATCTTGTCTTCCAATTTGCATATGACTTTCTCAGCTGTGACAAAAACTGATAAAAATCCTGAGTGGGACAAAAGAGAAGGACAAAAAACCCTCCAAAAAAAAAAAACAAAAAAAATCCCAACTCACGAGAAAGAGAAGAGGCATTGGCTTTTATAGAAATCTACTGGGTGATCTTATTCCAGTCAACAAAGGTGGCATCTCCATTAAAAGTTGAAGTCTCTAGCTGGTTGACTAAAGGTTGTGAGCTCAATCCCTGAACATGGCAGTACATTTTATTTTTATTTTTCTCTTCAACCCCTCTCCCCAACCAATCTATTGATCACTAGCTAACTACATAATAATCCATCTAACCAGGTGAATGCCTTTCTCACTGTGATCCCAGTTTGATGTTTGTCATTTTGGTCTTCGTCACTGGGTTCACCATTTGATGATTCAAATACCCATTGAACATGCAAGATAGCAAAATATGCTGGGGAACACCATCTACATCTACATTATTTATGATGCTCATTGAATAGTACAAAGAGAATCAGATGGTTTTACCCACATTTCTACTTGTGCAGATGCTTGTTTTTCATTAGCAGTGGTAGCTCATGGCTAAAATTAGTGGAGATGCTGCTTCAGAAAATTTTAGCCATAGTTTTAATATTGTGCAAAATGAATCAAACACATAAAAAGAAAATTTATACATAAACTTGATAAATTCCTAAATGAAAAAATTATGATTTACTTATAAATTGTTACAGTTCATGCTTGATCCACTCATTTAAAAATGAAATATATTCTTCATTTTTTACATTGAGTAAAAAGGTTAATAATTTTCTCCTTGATCCCTGGATGACTACTGAGGAAATTTTTCTCCATTGAAAGCACTGTAATTGCATTTAGTCTTCATAGTGCTCCTTAGAAAAATATTTAATTTATTCTTTTCAGTGTTGAAAACAATGTTCTGGCTCTGATCTAGTCATGGGAATGGTCAAGAGCATTTTATCAATTTTTTAATTTCACTAAAAACAACATCTAGATTATGTTCAAAGATAAATTTCAGCAGCTCAATTAATTTGCAATATTCATGCATATCTGATGTGCAATAGAATACTTTTAGTTCAGTTTTCACCTTTTCTTTGTCAATCAGTGGTCAGTACTATCTCTTTTGTAGGCAGTTCATTCTTAAAACTCATGAAGCTTTTGCTGAACAATAAAGCAGCTTCTAAATGTTTAGTGGAAGAATGTCTGTCCATTGTATCAACATATATGCAGTTGCACACTTCCTTTATTTCTGCCATGAGTGTCTTTGATAGATTCTCACAGTACTTAAGTTTCATATTTCTAAAATAGCAGTTTTGAATGTTACATATTCATTGACTTTAAACATACTAATCTCTCAAGATTTGTAACAGGCAGATTGTCAAAGAAAAAAGAGTCAATAATTATGACGTTTAAAACTTGAAGGAATAATTGAATTTAATAAATAACCTGAATTGTGAGGTAGGCACCTATTTATAGTCCCTAATGAATATATATATGAGAAGATTCAATTCAATTTTGTAAAAATATAGAGTGTAATAAATGACTCCCACCAAGTCTGACTGCTAAGCAATGATTATGGAGGCTTAATCAATTTTGATGTTATTATGATAATAGCTTTAAAAGTGATTAATCCTTCATAATCATTGGTTAGCTGTCAGAAATGGTAAGGGGATCATCTTTAACATCATGCTGACGTAAGGGAATTTCAAAGTTTCCACAAAATAAAATACAATCTATTATTTTGGATAAAATTTCATGGTTCTTTCTAACATTCAAGTTATGCTCATTGATTGAAAGTCTATAAGCCTCACTAAGTTTATCCTTAATATTTATATTTCAAGTGGGAGTGAAACCATATTTACAATATGCTTCTTTGACAATGTTTTTCAGTTTTCTATTTTGTTTATATGTCTAAAAGTCTAAGGTCATCTTTTTTCCACATTACATCATTTCCAAACAGAAAATACATGAAACAAAACAATGCATTTTTCACTTCACAGCTACAGAGCCACCTTTTTCATTGGTACCATTCAGAATTAAAGATATGAATATATCTCATCTTGTTGCTGCTTGTTCCTGGCTGAGATAATTTGAATATCAAGTGTTGAACAGCCTCTTTTCTTAACTAACTTTCTCATGGAGAGACAACTGTGAAAACTTAAGCTGTTGAAGTTCACTTACTGTCACAGGACTTATTTCTTGTGGATTCAAGGAGGTCATGGTTAAATTATTAAAATTTTCTATACAATAAAACAACCAAAAAAAACAAAACAAAAAAAAAACAATGAATTAAATAGAATAGCTGGAATTACCTAAAAATATCAAACAATTAAGGCAATGCCAGAATAGCTGTCAATGGAATCTGTCTTTTGATCCAATTTCACCAAGCATAGACTGCATAGATGTATTGACAGTATAATCCAAATAAATAAAACTATAAGAAAACCCCAAAAAGAATGAAGTGGGGCTATACAATCTATTTGGTTGGTGAAAATGGCAATGGTAAAGAGGACTCAAGCTGCCAAGAAGATTCTAGCTATGGCGGATACTGTTGAGGCTTGTGTATATTATAGAAACATTTTCATAGAGTTATTATGTCTTGAAGAAAATCATGGTTGCATTCCTATCTATTGTAGAACTGGTAATATAGCACTGTATGTTTCAGTACACTCGAGCACTCAAATATTGGATAAGAGGCTTTGAATTGAAACAGCTATTCTGTGCTATACTTGAATAGGGTGAAATCACTTCTATTCAGTGGGTCCCCAGTGCACATAAACTGGTTGATTCCTTTACGAAGAAGTGTTCCATTAAGAAAAATCTTGAGTCACATGACTGGATTGATATAGTATAAAAAACCGTGTTGGGTGAGTGTAAAAAGTTTATTTTACACGTTCTTGTTTTGATGTTCTCTTTCACGCGCGGAATAGTAAAAGGGAAGTAACTGCGCATGTTGTTTTAGGGCGTTTCTTCCCTCTGTTTTTGAAAGTTGCTTCCCTTTGTTTTGGGTGGTTCCTTTTTTTGGTTTCATAGTGAGTGTGTATATATTTGTTTCCTCCATATCTAATATGGAAGAAACAAAGTTCTTTTTCCCAGTGTTTGGATATAGACTTATGTAGCTTTGGACTGCCACTCGTTTTATAATAATGCATAAAAGCATGCCATTGTAATTTAGAGAGATACTTTGGATTGTTACTGTAAAAAGATTACTTCTAGTTACGTGATGTTCTGCTGTGTGTTTTTAAAATCCTTTGTTAATAATTTATACTGTAGCAATAATCTTATAAAAAATACAAAATGACAAAAACTTACTTCTCCAGCAAAATGCTGAATGCAAAAATATCCAGTGTTTCCTTCTGATGCTTTGTAGTGGTCATATTTTTTAAACAAAGAATCCATTTTCTCAGCCAAAGATTTGTAATTAGTTTCTGGCAAGTGGGATTCTTCATTGATAATACTCAAAAGACAACAAGGAGGCTGAATGTAAAGATTTTCAGAAATTAGGAAATCATTGAATCAACAAAGATCAGAATTTGTAATAAATTATGATTAACTCAACAATTCTCCCTGAAAACTGATTCTTGATAATAATTCAGAAAATAAACATAATAATGCAAATAAAAATAGACATTTAAATACATTTGTTGTTTTTTTTTATTGATTGTTACTTAATTTTTAAAGTCCAATATTTTTGGCTGTTTTTCTACTTTAAATCCAACATTTATGCCTGAAAAGGGGGAGTCCTTTTTTAAATGATCTTAGCTAAGCAATGCATTCATCAAATATATTTTTCAAAGATATGCAATAAATTATACAGTATTTAAGTATTGATTTGCCTTATATTTCCAATTTGATTATTTTAATCAGTATTTTTTATCTTTTCAAGAATAAATGGTTTCATTACATCCATTGAATTGTAAGAATTCATTTACTAATTACATCAATAAAAACTAAAATTGTTGCATGCTTGTATTTCGGTTGGCCAGTAAATTAAAAGAAATGCCATAATTTAAAAGATATTTAAACTGACAAATCTGTTTGCTTTATTTTTTAAGTTCAAATATTACATCAATAAATCTTCAAAAAAGTATTTCTTGTAAGCAATGAGAAAGTTCCATCAAACTTTGTGGAGCTTGAAAATAGTTATATATAAATCTGTCTTGTATAGATGGTCATTTAATTTAATAGGAAATAAAGTTGCTGTGTTTAATCTCAATTTAAAATATTTATTAATCATCTATATAATTAATGTTAACCATAACTCAGGTAAAAATTATCATCTCTTTCAAAAACTGGTGATTTTAATGAAAACAAAAAAGAAATGAATGAATCAAAGAAAGATATTTTTTCAAATTAAATAAAAAAATTACTTTTCAAATCAACTTACAGATGCAAATGCTAATAATTATTAAAATTTACTTAATTATTATATAATTGAAATTATTTAACTGCAAACACAATTGCCAAAAACAAAACAAAACAAAAAAGTAAATATCATTTCAAGCAGAAAGAACATTATCTGAAGAAATGGGATTTTGTCATTGAATGATATTCATTGTGATAGAGATGGTAATTCATTACTATTCTCAAGTAGATGTGAAAACAGCTACAAAAATATATTTGCAGTGTGAGACCCTGAAAGTACTCTGATGAATATAATGATAGGTTTGAGTTTATCAATTTTGAAGATACTTTTTATTTTTTTTATACATAGCATGTATTGTTACTCAAATTAGACTCACAGCTCAACTTTTGCAGGTTTATTTTTCAATGAAACATTTTTAAGAAGAATTTGTCAAATTTACCAATAAAAATAGTTTTTAAAGAAAATTCTGGAAAACTAAACTTAAAGATTATTATTATGCAGAATAGATACAAGCATATTCTTTCTATCATTAAACATATTGCAGATTATTTTATTGTTTTTAGAGTCATTTGATGAAAAGTGAATAAGAAAATAATGTTTATATAGAAAAGTATTTACATGATCATCTACAAAAGCAATTGCTTGACTTCTCATCCACTTTAATCCAATTTCAACTGGTTTCTTTTATTATTTCATATTTTGTGAACTGGACATTTTAATGGTTGAAATTATTTGTTAAAATCATTCTCTTTCCAGTCTGCATGAAACTTGTGTACGATTGTTTACATATTCATGAATTATTTTACCTTCTTTTAATAATCCATTTCTCAGCATGACATTTATAGATATATATAAGCTTATTTTAAAAAGGTAGTCATTTTTATTTGATTTTCTCTATAAACAAACCCATTTCATCAAATATGTCTATTTTTGTTTATAAACAATAACTATTTATAGTAGATCTATTAGAGATCTATTAGAATATTATTTAAGATCAGATATATTAATCAGTCATTGATGTGTTTCAATACAGAGAATACTGTAACAATAAAATACAGATTTCAAATACAATTTTTTCTGAAATTCAATAAACTATGATTCTTTTCTGTACTTTTTCTGTTTTTCAATTAACATATAGGTTTTATTAATACAGCATCTTTCCAGAGGGCCATGGTTATTGCTATTATTTGAAAGTAATATTGCTACTTTCAGACCTGCTTATTATTTTGATTTGTTAAAAATATTAAATGTAAATTTTACTCATAATAGATTAGAGGAATACATTTGCAGTTTTCTTTTATTATTAATTATGTTGGTGAATTATTAACAGGACTGTTGGATGCTATCAACATTTTTAACAATTTTTTTATTCTATGATAAAACTTACTCCACTCATACATGTATATAAAATGTGTGGGTAAATGTGTCTGTTTAGATTATTGAGAGAAATGCCCTCTTTTTTTAGCATGCATTATTTTTGTGGTAGTTTGAACAAAAGTTTCTACAAACATTTTTATATAGAGAAAGAAGCAACTTTTAAAATTGGATAAATATCTGATGAAACATTTAGCTGCAATAATTCAAATTGGTAGTTGCATTATTGATATTCACAATTTTCATTCATGTTATGTTTTTTTAAACAATTAGAAGATAGTAAACAGTTTCCGGAAACAAAAAGTTAGCAATATTTCACAGTAAATTCTAATGTCTTTATATTATACAATATATAACTATGCAATATTTTATACAGAAAAGTAAGATAGTCACCGTATTGTACAATACTAATGTTGATGATACAAATTTTGGATAATATTTTATAAATTTTATTGCCATTTACTGAAAGCTGAGGAGTTTCTAAAACCTTTAAAGTTTTTATTTGATTCAATTATGCCTTAAAATTAAATGCATATCAATATTTTTTATATTTTTAAGGTTAGTAGAAAATTTTGTGAGAAATACACAAATTAAAAATAAATTGACCATTTTGGGAAAGTATGAACAAGTTTTAACAAATTTTTTAGCTACCTACAGTTTGAAATAAATTTAGGATGAATGTTAAAGAAGTAATAAAATGTTAACTAAATGTGACATTTCTCATGGTTTGAATGCAAGTAGAGAATCCTTTAAAACTTTTCTCTTCATTTGATAAAATCTTCAAGAGAGGTAAAAAGAAAATGTTTTCTCTCTTACTATATAACTATATAAATGTTTTATGCACATTAAAGTTAGTCATTTTTCTTACCTTTGCTAACATTGTTATGATCTCTTCATTATCCAAAAAGTCAATTCCTCCTGCATCAATATCCACTCCTTCTGCCAAGTAGATTTGTTTTTCACACTCAAATATGTGTTTGTTCAAATATTTTTGCAGCCGTTCATTGATGATGTTAATACACAGCTGCTCAAAGCTGTTTCTCTTCAAATTCTCAAATCCAGAAATGTCCAAGATTCCAATTGCACAGCCTTCCCTGAATTATAAAACTTTGTCAAATGCTTGGCTTTGTAAAGTTCAATGTTGCACCATATTTTTCATTGATTTCTTTTATTGATATTTAACATTTATTAGTAGAAATAAAAAGAAAATAGAATTTCGAATAAGGACAAAAATAGTCAGCCAAACATAAGCATTTTGTATTTATTAACCTGCAGCCATACTGCCAGGCTCTAACCAGCCATGCTATCAGTAGAAGAGAATGATATCTTAACTTAAGAAAGACACTTTCTTGGAGCTATGAGAATTTGTGAGAGTATGTAAGCAAGGAGGACAGCATTCGTTTTTGGAACGCTGGGCTGTTTTTTTGTTAGCAGAGACTGGGACAGTTAGAAAGCGATTATTTGGATCAGTTTCACACAAGCTATTTCAGCAAAAATGACAGAGGGAAAGTTTGACCTAAAACTTATTCCTCTGTGGTAGTATGTATTGAGGAAGCTGACCTGGTCTGTAAGATCTGCCAGGTTAAATGTCCAGAACACAGTCTCTTTAAGGCTAGTGGATAGTGCATTTGCTGTCTACCAGCAACTGATAGGGGAAGAAAAGGAAGATTTCAGTCAGATAAAATCCACATGGTACACAGCTTTTGCCATGGATGGTTTTCTGGCTTATGAGTAATTTGCTGTCCCTGAGAATTGGTCGATGTCTATCTGGCAGAGTTATGAAAACTTTCCATCCTGTTTGGCAAAATGAGAAACCACTGGCCTGGCATGTGCATTCATGCGAGAGTTACCAGACTGAGTTAAACACCTCCTTCACGCTTCAACCCAGATGGATGAGTTGTCTATTGGCCAGCTATTGACTCAAGTGCAAGCAATTATGAAAGATGAAGTACTGGAAGAGGGACTGGCAGTCGCAGTGGTGTGAACAATACAGAATATGGCGAGGAATCAGAGATCTACATGGCTCCATAACATGCTATTGTTGCAACAGCCCCAACCATTTTGCAAAGGATTGCAAGGAATCGCATACCAAAAGATGGACACCCCAGATGCAATGTTACAAGTGCAATGACATAGAGCATGTAGTCCTGGGGAATAGGCCCCAGTGCCAGTCTATTCCCTGAGCTCCATATGAAAGGGGTGTTATCCACAATTGCTGTACACGTCAATGGAATCAGGAGTTTAGCCTTGTTAGACACAAGCTGTTCTCAATTGCTTGTAAGGAAACCACTTTTTGCTCTTGGAAGAGGAAACGAGTGGATGTTGGTAAAAGGACGCTCAAATGCTGTAAGACTTATTGCACTTGCAACAGGCCCCTTATTGATGATGAGGTTCTGGTTGTGGATGACAAATTTCTTGATTTCAACTTGCTGCTCGGATTTGACGTTATTAAGAATCCAGAGCATTTAGAGAATGATACCCATGTTCTGGGATTACATGTCCAGGAGGAGTGTGGCTAATTGCATTGGAGTTGTAGGAGTGACCTCCTACTACCTAATGTGTTCACTCATTGGTGCATCTTCTCCCTGTGTGGGAAGCTGACTGGATATTTGCCAGTATGTGGCTGTCTCCATCTTGCAACTGCATTTATAAAACAGCACACAAACTCAGTAATGACTAGGTGGGATGATGAGGCGCAGGATCCACCCCTGACTTGGATGCTGATGGACATCATTACCAGATTGGCACAGAAGAATCTGGCACAAGATGATTGATGTGTTGATGGATGCAAAATTACCATGTGGGTTGATGCAAGTTCCTTGGCCATTGCGTTGTGGAAAGCAGCAAATCTTTAGTTGAAGAGGCCTGTTGGCTGCAATCAAAATGTGAAGACAAGCATATCAACCTGGCAGAGCTTGACATGATCTTTAGAGGCATCAACATGGCACTGCACTGGAGATCGACTGTGATGCACCTGAAGACTGACTTAATGTGTGTGCATTGATGAGTTTCCGAGGTGTTGTCTGAAAAGTCTTGGGGATGCACGAAGACAGCAACAGAAATGTTGATAAGACATTGGCTCAGCACAATCAAGGAACTGGCTTGGTAGAAGGAATATAAATTGACTGTTGTCATAGAGCTTGTTAGGTCCCATGCAAACCGAGCTGATCATCTCACTAGAGTGCCTCAACATTGGCTGGATGCAGTTTGCAAAGAAACAGAACCAGTGTGCACCACATCTATGGAAAAGCAGGAATCAACCCACATTCAAGACATCCACCCTGGAGAGTGTGAAGTGTGCCAATCCATTGACCCGGTGTCAGTGCATTGAAAAGCTGGATGGCTGGATGGTGTCAGAATTGAAGCAGGGTTGGGATGTACATAACCCATTATGAAGGCTAGCATTACCTGACTCTGATTGACTGCAGCCTTAGTTAGTTTTCCATCTGGTGGCTATTACCATATCAAGATACTGCCAGCATTATTCAACAGCTGGAGTCACTATTCTGCGAGGGAGGGCCACTTGCTGAGCTGTCTCATCAACAATGGTGCAGCATTCTGCGGGGAGGTATTCACAAGGTTTGCCAAGAACTGGAGCATCTGACTTAGATTTCAGTGTGCCTATCAAACATCAGGGAACAGCATCATGGAGAGATGCTATCGCACCATCAAGTGTATTGTGGCTCAGTCAGGATGTTCCATTATGGAGGCGTTATATTGGTATAACATGACACCAAAAGATGATGCAATAGTTACATCAGCACCAGCCAACACTATATACAACTATCAAGCCCATATAAAAGGTGTCGATGTTGCATCGCCAATTGAACACACAGATCCTGGAGTCTATAGAGTGGGAGATGTGGTTTGTGTAAAGACCCCACATGGTCGATGTTCAGCACAATTCAAAAAAGGAACAGAAACATGGGTCTACGACCCACATTCAGTTCATTGGGCTGTTTTTTTGTTGGCAGAGACTGGAACAGTCAAAAAGCAATTATGTGGATAAGTTTCACTATCAGGATCTAACCAGTCATGCTATCAGGCTCAAACCAACCATACTATCAGGCTCTAATCATCCATACACTCAAGCTCTAATCAGTCATACACTAAGGCTCTAATCAGCCATACTCTTAGGCTCTAATCAGCCATAAAGTCATGCTCTAATCAGTCATACTGTCAGACTCTAACAAGCCATAATATCAGAATCTAATCAGCCATACTCTCTGGCTCTAATCAGCAATACTTATCAGGCTATAGCCATACTTTCAGGCTCTAACTAGCCATACTTTCAGGCTCTAACTAGCCATACTTTTAGGCTGTAATCAACCACACTCTCAAGCTCTAATCAGCCATACTATCAAGCTATAACCAGCTATATTATCAGGCTTGAATCAGCCATACTATCAGACTCTAACCAGCTGTACTATTAGGCTGCAAAATATCAATCCATAGCAGAGACAATTCCAGAGAAATCATTCTCCTTCATTCATAATTCTTCGTCAGATTGCACTTCATTTTGTATGAATAAAAATATTAATATTTTTATGTCACATTTATGTTTCATTTTTCATCAAAAACAAATTCATATTAAAATCTATTTAACTTCAATACTAAATCTTTTTCATATTTCCCTACTTATCATCCAAATGTATAAATGATATGATAGAATTGACAATATATGTCAATATATAAACAATATATGTCAGTATTTTTAATATAAAGCAGCACATTTTTCTCTGAATTTCTGGGATGAGGAGTCATCATTATTTACACTATTTATATTCAGAACAATGGCTTAGTGGATTTGTGAATTTAGTGTCATGGTTGTTGTGATTTCAATCCCTGGGTTGGGCTGTTTGTACTTGCATTCAGTGGAAATGGGCAAATAAAAACTGAACAGTATTAAAGAAAATAAGAACTAGATGATATCTCTAGACATGAACAATGGAATGAGAACATTCTAGGCACCCCACACCAGGGGATTAAATAAAGGGTTCAGTTCAAAATACTCTGTAGGTTACCCAGATCAATGTACACCTGAGGAAGGCAAGAGGGCACAATGACTGAAATGTTATGTTAACAACAACAAAGATGAGGACAATAGTCCAAATATAAATAGTGTAAATAAAGCAGAAAATATTTAAAGTAAAATATAAAATTAAAACTATTGGTACATTTCATTTCTTTTACTTGAACAATAAAAAGTTTTTAACTTATTTAAAAATAAAGTAAAAAAAAAATGGACTTACTTTTTAACTGGCATTATGCCTTCATTAATCTTTCGAACAATCCATCCAAAAAGACGTTCATATAAAGATTTGGCAAGGGCATCTCTTCCTTCTTCAGCTTGTTCTTTATTTTTTTGTGTTTCAACTGATTCATCTAAATTGCATAATGTAGCAAAATAAGTTAAGAAAGCAGTAGAAAGTTAAAGATACCAAAATAACAGCAAAAAGTATAACAAATAATAGGTTTTTCAGTAGATTACAGGCTGAACTTTACAAAAATAGAAATAGTGAAAAAATATCAAGAGTATATTTGAAACTATAACATTTATGCTAATGTCATTGCCTAAGCTGCAAAAGCTAGAAATAATTAAGATGAAAGCTTTTTCTATGAGAGAAAATAGTTTTCTTTTATTAATGTTATAATTTTTTTTTCAGTCATTTCACCCTGAGTAAGGTAATCTCTATCTATAAAAGGCAGGATGTGTGTATGTGTGTGTAACGAATGCATGGCTGCAATTTTCGACGGATTTGCACCAAAATTTACATGCACATACTCCAAGTTAGCAGGAAGGCCAAGACCAACTTTGCATTTCCCAACTTCCATTGATAGTGGAAATAATCGATTTTTTCATGCTTCTATGGCAGTTTTCATGTAGTTTGCAGCCCTTTTCTACTGGCCAGAGTGGGAGCCTATAGCTGGCTGCCACGAGTAGGCAGGAAGATTCTATTGGTCAGTGTGAGAGCCAACAGCTGACTGACACAAATGTTAACTAGCATCCTAGCATGCAAAAAAAATCGATAGCTGCATTCATCACTCGTGAGAAAAATTTAAATCTGCGTGGCGCTTTACTCCAATTGGTTCATTTGCTTGCTTAAACTCAATGTTGATTCTGATTCTGCAGAACTGGGTTGGGTGTGAAAAAGTATTTGTTGTTAACATTCTTTTTTCATTCGGTTTTTCCAGTTACAAGTCCTTTTTTAAAGCTGATTGTTTTGTGTTCATTTTGTTTAGTTCTTTTTTCGTAACAGATTTAATGTTTAGTATAGAGCTTAGAAAAAATTCGCAGAGTGAGATAGGCAAGTAAGGCATGTAGTAACATCAGCACGGCAAAGGGCACTCCTTTAAAGGCAAGGAAGGGCGAAAATATTTAAAGTCAAGTGATAGCGATTGCTGTATGAGCCGTATGATTTTTGAATCAAGCACGGGCAATGCCGGGCCATGCTGCTAGTAATGCCAGTATGATGTAAGGGGCTACTGTGAGTGAAAGAGAAAGAGAAGACTTTACGAGACAGAACCAGAAACCAAATCCTTAACTGGAAACAAAAGATAAACCTCTACTCCTATTCAAAAGACTGGGAATTATTGTGAACCGGCTCATACAAAAAAACCTATCTACTCCCATTGAAAAGATAAATAAATAAAAATAAGAGATTAAATTAAAAAAAAAAAATGAAAATTAGTAAATATTATATATTTGCTAGTATGATGAGGTGGAGTCGACAGGGTTAACACATTGTAATTCCTATTTGTTGATCTTTTTTTTACTTTAGCTATTTCTTCATTTTCAGTTTGTTTATTAGAATTGTTTTAAATTTTACTCACAAATTTCCTATATTTTTCTAAATTCTTTGATTGGAAGTTGCTAAATGAATTATCTTCCTTGTTTTCTGAATAGTGTTGACTTATTGGAAAACAATTTTTCATAAATTAGAAATATTAAAAACCTTTTGACACATAAGATTCTCTTGATTTTCATAATGAAAAATAAGTGAACATTTTATATTACAGAAAAATATTTTTGCATTCAAGTAAGGAAATTATAAATGTTAAAATTAATGGAATATCAGTATTGATTTGCTTTAAAAATTCAGGGATGAATTTTGTTGTAGATCAACTTGAATTTTTACTTTTGCTTCTAGGGGAAAAAAAGAATGGAAGGCAAAAACTTCTCAATATCATTACATGACCACACCTCACATCCCAATTCTCATTAACAAATGATAAAATACTTTTCTCTAAGTATATGTACCTGTTCTATACCAGTAAAAATCTATGATGTCCTATGACCCCAGAAGTAAAAAGAATTAATTACATAAAATCTATATTTGCAGGTATATAGTCTACAAAAGTATTCATAAACATATTTCATTGTTATTATACACTGATTTATTCACTTTAATTGTAGTGAGTTTTTTACTGTTTTACCATCCTAAATTTTTTAGGTGTCTGTCACAATTGGTAATCTGCTGGGAATTTTGAAGTAAACACTTAATTCAATCCTCAGGAATAGAACATTTTTGTTTCTCTCCCCATGCTAAGGGATATCAATTAAAATGCTATTTTTATTTTTCTGCTAAACCTAAGACTTTCACTGTCTGACTCAAAAATTGAATGTGTAACAATCAATTAGGTAATGATTTTCACCCTCACCAACATTTACATCTTTAAGTAGGTATCCCAAACTTTCCCAGTCTACAGTGGAAAACATTTATCAAAATAGTGAAATTTCCTTCATTTTTACTGCTGATATCTCATTTATTTTGATAAAATTAATATGTAAACAAAATGTAATCTTTTCTCTTTCTAAAGATACAATTCCTTTTCATATGTGATGATTAGTTTTTATTTCATGTCTGTTTAGATTATGTCACTATTTCAATGATGGAGAATGATTTTCTATATTTTCAAAGTTGATAATTTCATAGTGGTGTTTTTCAAATTAGATGCACTCTGAGATGTGTCTGTTTACACATATTAGTATAGTCCTATTTTAAAGAAAAAAGGACATTTGCCAATTTGATAGGTGAACCATAATATTCAAAGTTGTTTTTTCACAAAAGAATTTCTAAGTTGCATTTTCAACTTAGAAATAGTAGATGAAATACCAGTGAAATTCGACACTTAAAAAATGAAATCTATATCTTCTTGTAGCTATCTTATCTTTAATAATCATATCTGCATGCCCACACAACTTGAGATCCACATAAATCAAAAAAGGTATACTGCATTCATTTTGTTCAAAACAGTCAGGTTCAATGCATCAAATTTTGTATTGCTGACCAAGTGAATAAACATTGTCAGCTGAATCCCATTTTAAATCAGATTTGTTTCATCAATGGATATTACAGTTTGAACCTTTTTCTCATATTTTCTTTAATGATGCATTTTAAAACTGTATAAATAAAGCAATTAATTATTTATTTTGAAAATAAATTCAAGCTGACAGTTTGAACAAAATAAAACAATAATTTATTTTGTTCCAAATGTCAGCTTGAATTCTATTTTGATTTTCTCAAAAACAATTAACTGAAGTAGTTAAAAGCTGATCTTTGCAACTATTTGATGACAGAAAAATCAATTGATTCATCTTTGCCTCTAAAACAAAGGAAAGAAGAAAAGGCACTCAGTGATTCTGAGTATTTAAACAACTCTAGCAGTTGTGATAAAGGACCACCACCTCAGGTGAGCTTCATTTACGAGTACCAAGGTCAATGGGTTGCAGTAAATTATGACTTAACTTTAACATTAGTCATTGATATTGCATCTCCATTCAGTGTTGTGATAGTCTTTAGTTCCAACAAAGAGCAGAAATGATTATTTCCAATGTTTTTTCTCAAATGATATTGCACAAATGGAATCAACATTTTTCTTCAGATGAAACTTTGATGTAATATGAGTTTTGAGTGATGGTTGGATATGGAGTGTTCCAGAAATATTAGAGGCAATTCACTTGGCAAAATCACCACTAGCAGAGGATATTTACAGTTTTTCTATCAGTTCAAAACATAATTACAAGTCTTTGTTTTTCTTTTGTAAAACAAATGTCTAAGTTTTGTAGTCCTGGTTGTGACAAATGGAAAATTACATGATTTCACAAATTTTCCTAAATAGATATAAAAACATGCAACACATTTTTTCATCTTCGATCTGATAAAGCCAAACAGGCAAAATGCATAGTCAGAAGTTTTTACCAAATGTCATTAATCTATACCTCTGTCAGTATTATATACCCAAATTTATAAATATATATATATATATATATATATATATATATATATATATATATATATATATATATATATATTACAAAAGGTACAGTGAAAAGAGTTGTTTTGTTGAATTCCTCAGTAAAAAATTCCTTAGTAAAATTTCAATGTTTCAATTATGTACCTCCAATGGTTACTTTTTTATGGTAAATTCAGTATGGTGTAGTTTTGACTTGTTTTTGCCCTACTGTCAAACTTCTGGCTGTTTTTCTGTGATTTAAATATAGGATTTTATTGAGGTACTATTGGTAAAAAATTAGCTCCATTTCTGTTTTGCTATGAAGTATAGGAAGAAGTTGCAAGGCTGTTGAAATGAAACTTATATGATTGCTCAAATTTACCCTTCTGTGTCATATTTTTAAAATTTAATTTTTGAGAATGAAATTTTTTCCAATGTTCAGGTTGGTCTGATCTGAGAATTATTGATTCCATTAGCATTATCTTTCTTTCACTTCAAGACTAACTATATAACATTACATAATTACTGTTAAAATTTACTTTTTGTCCAATAACACATGAAACGGACATTTTTTTAAGAATTTTGAATGGTCATAACTTTGGTGCTAATTGAGCTACTAAAATAAATTTGGTAACATTTTGTTATGGTTTATCAAGATCTCTATGTCCATATTAAACATTTTTAGATATATTGAAAATATTTCAGTTTGGAATACCTGTTATAATGCCATTGCTCCACTGTAACAATCAAGATGAATATTCTAGTCCATGTAAATCAGTGAATAATAATAATAATAATAATAATAATTCCTTACCTCAGAAATTTGAACAGAAAATATTTTTGTTTACATCTGCATTAAAAATTTAATAATAATGATAATAACAATGTAAATAAATAGGAAAATATTGTATCCCCATGTTGCAGATAGGAGCTGAGATATGATCCATCATCACCCAGACAAAATATCAAAGCATTGGAGAAGATATTATTATTATTATTATTATTATTATTATTATTATTATTATTATGTTGATGTCACTCATTGGAAATTCTCTTCTTGTGGCATGATGTCAAAAAAACTTCTCACAACACAATAACTTTTTGGAGAATCCTTGCAGAATAAATGATAGTTGTTTTCTGGAGATCTACAATCTTGGTCTTGGTTCCAATTCTTCTTTCTAAGCACTTTTTCAATTTTCTAGGAATTAGTTCTACAGTCACATCCCATAGCTTCTTTAGCTCACTAGCCAGATCCTGGTATTTTTCTATCTTTTTAGTTTCTTTAGAGTTCACTCTTATATCATATTATAGAGCAAAGTCAGTAATTTGACACTTGCTATTCTCTTTATCTTATACTAGCAGTAGAGCCCGGCATTGCCCAGGGATGTAACAGTAAGAGATAGATTAAATATCGACCATCATAAAGACTGAAAAATAAAATTGACAAAGATTATTGTTTAAGGTTGATGGACACGCATGTCTTAATTTTTTGTTTTGTTTTTGTTTTTTACGAATTGGTCAAACCCAAACTCAAACAAAAACATTGTTTTCAATTGTTATGAGTCTACCAATTGAATAGAATTTTATTATAAACAATTGTCTTGTAAATGGAATTTTTAAAGCATTCTGAATGTAAAAATAAAGAAAAAAATGTGTATGACAATAAGAAACACTACCTGCCAAAAAAAAAGTTTTGTTGAAATCGGTTGAAAAATGTAGGAAATCCGATCCCATATATAAATGAACACACACACACACACACACACACACACACACAACCTGGGTTTTATAATAAGTATAACTCGATATGAGTTGTCCCCCTTTCATTCTCATGACTGCGATGCCTCTTAATCGTGTTTTCAAATTGATTTCATGCAAAAACAATTGTGTTTTTCCAATTTTTGGTGCTGTTAGAACCACTGCAAGGTAATTTTACATAGTCCTGTGAAGTTTTGTTGAAATCAGTTGAAAAATGTAGGAAATCCGATCCAATATATAAATGAACACACACACACACAGCCTGGGTTTTATAATAAGTATGATTAGAGCAGGTCTTCATGCTTCAATGACATGATCAGTTTAGAAATCTTGTGACTACATTTTTTATCACTGATTCTCTATTACACTGAAGCCAAACTTATGGCATACTTCCCAATGGTTTCTCCTACCAATCCAGTAATGTCACCACTTATACTCCTTTTGTGCCAATTTGGGACATTTAGCAAGTATGTGTTTTACTGTCTCACCAGCTTGTCCAATCATCCTGCATTTCCTTTCTTCTTGTGATCTATCTATCCTGGCCTGATTACAAGAAAAATAATAAACACTATTTATTTATTTATTAGATTGTTTATTTACACAATTATTATTTATTGTTTATTGGAATGGTTAACATTCAAATTTTATAAAATGTTAAATAATAAGGATTTTCTTATAGTTGGTTCACATATTATTAAAATAAGTTAGCAAATGTTTATAAATTTATGAATAAAAATTGTTTTCATACTTATTTCTTTATGAATTAGTAAATGATAAATATTGCAATGCATTAGTTTTAATTGTATTAGTTTTTAGAATATTGTAAATGAAAAATTATTCTTGTAAATAAACAATTTAATAAATAAATAGTGTTTAATATTTTTGTTGTAAATTCTCAAGAAAGAAAATAAAATGTATAAATTCACTTTTATCATATGTTTAGGTTTTATTTCAATTCTAATCATAAATATTGCCAAAGGAGTGATGGCAGCTATAATAATAGCGGTGTTCCTTTTAACACTCTGATTTTTTTTTCTTTTTCTGCAGGCACAAAAGTTAAAGATTGCCCTTCTTTTATTTCAATATGCTTCTCTTTGTTGCCATGTAGAATGCCAAGATATTTATAGTTCTCTCCCTCTTACAAAGATTTCATAACTTCTCCATCTGGTATTGCCTTGAACTCCACTATTTTTCCTCTCTTGCTACTTAGCAGGGGGGGGACATATATGTCAATGCCAAATCCCATTCCAATATCTTTACTAAACACACAAACCATCTGAATCAAAGAATCTGAAACCTTTCCATTCATGGCATACAGTTTCAAGTCATCCATGAACAGTAAGTGGTTGAATTTTAAAAAATTTTTTGTTCATTACTAGCAAATTCATTTCCACCTTCTGCACACCATAGAAAGTGACAATGGGATCTGACACATAACAGAGATAAAATTGAGTCCTTTGAAAAATACCTTTTTTCATGTCTACTTGTCCCAGTAAATCATCACCACATCAATTTCACTCTCCATAATCATATACTGTCTTCCAGTAATGACTTAATTTGATTTGAAATGCCCAAAATGTCAAAACATTTTAAAATCCAAGAATGTGGTGCCATATTATAGGATTTTTTTGTAGTCTATTCATCTCATTCAGTATCATCTTTTCTATGAATAAAAGATCATTAGTACGTCTTGAACCCTTCCTGCAACCTTTTTGCTTTTCAGAAACTCTAAATGACTGAATGCCCAAATGAACATAAATTTCCTCTGCTATGATACGTGAAGTCAACTTCCAAACTAATAGTAGGCATGTTATTTACTTTTTGTGACCAATTTCTTCTCTTTATTCTAGCTGTTAGTAGGCTATAGGACACCTACCAAGTGAGATACTTACACCATTGGTTCTAGTATCGTTCATACCATTATTTTCTGTATTTTGGTTGGATCGTTCTTAATATGAATATTAGTGAATTTAAAGTTGCACTACTACCAGTGATTTTATCGAAACATCATTTCTAGGAAGACTAGAAAGACTAAAGATCCCCTCCTTCCAATGAAAGATGGTTATAGCCTGCCATATATCAACTTGATGCTTCTAGACAAATGGGAGATGATTATTATTATTATTACATTAATTGTTTAGTGGAATAAAAATTTCAAAGAAAAAAAATAAACAGTTATTGTAAACATTAGAAATTAGACATTAGGAAATAGATGTGAGAATTAGGAATGCCTCTCTTCCAATAGTGAAAATTATGTCTTTCCTTTCCTTATCATATATAAAATAATATTTTAAAAAAATGTTAATTGTAAATAAAAAAATAAGAGTCATTCATTTGTCAAATATATAAATAAGTACCTCCAAAAATTTGTTAAAATATGAGCATACACGAAAAAATGCCCCAAATTTAATAAAAACAAAGTTTTATTGTCAAAATCTTTGTTGTTATTAAAAGGAAAGACCAAAAGATTTTATTATTATATTTTTTTAATCCTTTTTAAAACCTTCAAAACTTTGATTAAATTTTTTTTGTGTGTGTCAGCAGGTGAGCATAAATTAACATTTTTTTGCAGTTAAAAACACATTGATTTGAAAATTCTCGCAAAAATCAGATAATTGTCAGATTTTAATGAAACTTTCAGGAACTTATTTATAGATGAATTAAATTATTTTAGAAATGTTTCTTTTTTAGAAATTCTTGGTAAAAAAATTTTTTTACATCTACTACCTCTCACATTTAATTTTATGAAATTTTGAGAAATTTATTTTTGCAACACTGAATGTTTTAGCAGTTATAAGGACAAGTCCTTGAAGAATTTAAATCATCAATTTTTTGTTTTGCAAGACAGGAAGATAAGACCCTCAATTACTGAAAATTTTCTCTGAATTGTAAAATAAAAAAATATGATATTAAAATATTATTTAATTAGAAAAGCTGTTATTTGCTTTTATGAATAAGATATATTATGGACACTATTGTCTTTTTTAATGAATAATGAATTTTACAAGAATTGTTTTTATTTTTTAAATTTTAATGAATAATCATTTATAAATTTTTAAATCTCTTAAAATTCTGTATTAATTTGTAGCATTTAGGTGATAGTGTTATTAAATAAAAACTATATTTACTAATCATAAATGGAAAGGCAATCCCCACCACCACACTAATATTTTTTAAAAAATTTTGAATTTTTTTGTGTGTCTATAAACATGCTAATTTTTGTAAATACAGATGTCCATACATATCAAAAAATAAGAGCAGTATAGTAAACTTAAAATTTATTGGCAATTTTCTAATGTTTCCTTTATCTTCATAAGTAAGACTATAAAACCAAAATACCTAAAATTCAATAAAATATTAGATTACAGGGTAGTTAAAAATATTATATAAAAATGTTATATTTATCAAGTAATTGTTCCCTTTCAAAAATATTCCCAAACATATTTAGCAAGAAAGTTGTCAACACCTCATAAAAGTACCCATCTCTGTGTCAAAAAATGTTATTCTGTGATAATATTCAACTAAAATTAAGTAATATTTGTTTCAAATCAAATTAATTAAACTTTAAATCAGCTAATCTTCCTCAGATAAAATTTCAGGAAAGTATATTTTATTTTTGAAAGATTTTTTTTTAATAAAGAGAATTATGTTGTTTTGAAAGATTTGTAAATATGTATGATTTTAATTTTTTTAGCAATTTCAAAAATGAAAGATCTCATTCCAATTCATTTCAACTTAAATTTGTTTTGAAAAACAGCAATATATTTTGCTTATTGAAAATATTAATTTAGCTTGAAATTATAACAAAAATAAAAGCTTCAAGAAAGATTTTTCAATTTAAACCTTAGGTATCACTTTTCTTTGGAGCCACTTAAACAAATTAACAAATAATAATAATAATTATTATTAATATTAATTTTACTACTGAAGTGATTTAATTGCCTGATTATGTAATGATTGCAATTAAAAAATAATTTTTAGTTAAATGTATTTATTTAAAGTTTCTGTCAAGTTTAAAATATATATAAATTGATTTTCTCAGAAAGTGGTCCTTAACGCATTCACTGCTATTGTGGATATTTGAACCTTTTAATAATGTCACCTTTTTTTTCATTAGAGCAACTATTACAGTTTGCTCTATAATACTACTTATGTTATCTTTTGGTAAGTAAAATTAAATCTAACTCTAAAGAATGACTAATGTGTCCTCTACAATATTTTTTCTACATAATGCCATGTAATGGACAAGACACATGTACAAAGAACATGTTAAAAAACTGATTCTTTTTCTCACCTGGCATTTTTAATGTTTTGTTTATGAGTGCCTTTTCCAGTTGTTCAAAATCTAAATTCAATAATTTTGCCACTGAAATAAAATATAAATAAAATATAATAAGATTATACTGAATGGTTCTTTAACTTTTTTGAATAACTTTTGAAGAACTGCTGTCCTTCTAAAATCAAACTCATCTCAAAAGTCAAACTCAAACCTTATTTTTGTGCATCTTAATTAAAGTTGCAATAGGTGTCTAGTTTTTTGAAGAAAATTATATAAAAATGAAATTTGGAAGCAAAGTTTTAATCTTACAAAATGTATAGCTTTTTCTTTCTTTAGTCAAACATAATCTAATCTCTACATTCTATGAGAATTACAGGAAATATAAAATATTTAATAAATAGATTTAAGTAGAAAAATTAGAAATGGTTTACCATCAAGTTATGATCAATGTTAAGTTTAGATATGAGTTTTATTTTTCAATGAGGATAACTTATGTTTTAAAATATAACTATAAATAATAAGTAGAATAATAACAATCCTCAGATTTACATAACGACAAAATACTTTTTAATGTGAACTTTAACATCATGTGGAATTAATTAGAGTAAGTTAATAATGGCATACAACACAGACATATTTAAAATAAGCAGTTGAAACAGGAGAGAAAAAAACTGACGTTTGATAAAAAACCCAGAGAATTAAATTAAAAATGAATTTACTGGTTGTCACTTCTTGTTCATCAAAACTCAATCAAGAAATAAAATAGTAAATGTATGTACCAGCTAAAGATAAAGGAAAAACTAATACACTGTTATTAGTAATATACTAAACAAGGAATATTTATAATCAGATCACATTAAGTCTTAGCAGTGATTCCGTCTGTTTACACAAGGAAGCTTGTTTGGATTTAATGAAAAGTGTCTCAAAGACATTAAGGTGGAACTTGGAATAAGATCTGTATAAAATGGAAATCATGTTCTCGGCGTGCACCTTAGTTTTTAATCAAGTGGAATTGCATACTTGGATGACACAACAGACTTAAATTATTTTGAAGCTGACCTTTTCTTATGAACACCAGAACATGATGGGGAAATTCTTGTCTCCAGAATTGTAGATATTCCATTCTTAGCACATTACAAATAATAGTTTTTCCTTAATCTTTTTAATCGGTATGTACATTTACTATTATATTCCTTGACCAAGTTCTAATGAGGAAGGAATGACAACCTGTAAACTCCCAATTTTTATTTTATTTTATTTTTCATATTAAATTATTTACCTTTCATATCAGTCACTTTTTCCCCCTCTTGCTTTCACTATATATTTTAAACATATCTATTCAACATCATTAAATTTTTTACAGTAAACAAAATTTTAGAGCAAATTAAATTCAGTAGATAATTCTGTCAGCATCTGTCCAAACTGATGAGGAATATGTCTGTGAAGAAATATATATAATATATAATTCAAACATTATTTTTAGTGGATACTCGTATTTGAGTTAGATGCTTCATTTATTTATTAAACAGTATTTTTCTACTGGCCTGTACAAAAATATCCTCCACCAATCCATTAATATATATATGTATATATATATATATATATATATATATATATATATATATATATATATAAATTGAGATATTGTAAAACTCATTAATGAAGGAAACTAGAAAAATGTAATAGAAACTTGAAGAAAATGCATTGCAAGGGGGCAAATGTTGCAGAGTGAGTTTAGATCAGCCCCAGAACTGCAGTATGGTATTTTCATCACAGAACATCCACATCAAAGACCAACGAAACATTTAAACAAGGAAACAAGTGAAATGGTGAAAAGGACTGTTTTGATGGTTGATCATTTGTTCAATTATTGAACACTGAATGAATACACATCTAGAGCTCATCCAATATCATAAATTTAGATTGAATCATTTGCAACTGATTAACAAACATAGTAAATTTTTCGTTTTAGCATACAGGAAGAATATCAGTCTATAAAACTGCATATTTTTTCTTCAGGGAGGAATTTTCTCAGTATTTATTAACAAAAATATCTTAAAATGGAAGGTAAAATTCTGTCCTGCACATCAAATGAAGAGTTAAAGTAAAGCGGAATAAACTCTTGAAAATTAGCCAGTCTACCCAATTTAATTTACATGAAGAAATAAGTTAAAAAAAGCAAGATAGAAAAAGTCACCTGAATTTTGAAAAATCTCTGATTGTAAATGACAAAAATATTCCTTAGTGGCTATGAAGAAAGCAGGAAACACAACTAAATATTTGATTGATGTATAAACACTTTGTACCCACCCAACTATTTGATGATATTTTAAATTTGAGCTAAATATATTTGAATTGCTTTCTTTTTAATATTGTATAATTATCAAATATGCTTAGTGTACATATTTCTCAAAAGTATTTAAAAATGTAAATAAAATTGAGAATATTGCAATGTATATAACCCTTTTGATTTCAGCTTTATATAAAATTGGTGAAATTTGTTGAAAATTAATCAAACTCTAGCAGCTTTTTCACTAGTTGAAAATCTGAAGTAAGATTTAAGACAGTTAAATTCTGATAAAGCAATATGTGGAATGAAGTTTATTTATAGTAAATTTCTGTCTATGAAGCATTTATTTTTTCAGATGAGAAATTATGAACTCTTACATGGAAGTATACTTTAGATAAAACCTGAAAACGTTTAATCCACAAAATCTGTAAAAACTATAATTTCTTAAAAATAAACAAATAAATAAAAAAAAACCTATTCTCCAAAGAAGAGAAAAATATTTACCTGTTATGAGAGTAGCAGGTGATTTGACAGAGATGCCTTGTGCTGCTTCACTGCTGAATTCAATTTGTGTTAAATGGATAATAGATGCAAGGATCCTTTCAACAGTATTAATATCCTGTCCAGAAAAAAAGTAAACTGATTGTCATTTAACTTTAAACCTAAATTGATGTTTATTTTGAAATGTAAATTAATATTACTCTGCTAATTACAATTCAATCTGTTATAGTAGTTTTTAATTCTTTAATCATCAATCCAGTCTAAATTTAGTTCAATCCATTTCCATATGATGTAAAAAAAATTGATTGTTATAGAAAATAGTTGAGCCATTATCAACTTAAATATCCTTATCTCTTTATTTTTTCTCAGTTTTGTAATAAACAAATAAAAGTACAACAAAAAATCAACTTTAAAAATCTCATGTCTGCTCCAAAAAAGTACAACAAAGAGGTTGATTTAACAAATTCTAATCATTAGGATTATTGTTGTGACAGTATTCATAAGAAACTGATTAAATTTAGAGACCTAATGGGATTTGACTTCAAGTGAATTTTTAAAATTTTCTTTGCCGTGTTATTATAAAGAGTACATTTTATATGATATAAAATTATTGTAACTGTTTCCTAAAAATGACATCTGTGTGAGTGAAATTATTTCTAATAGCAAGTTGCTGCATAATTTTACTCAAACACACATGTGCATATGAATTTTAATAAAACAAAAACTGACCTCTTCAGTAAAATTTATAATGCTGAAAATTTCAATGATTTGAGTATACAAATTTTTGAATCGATGGATGTCTTTGATGAGATGAATATCTGTGTTTTTCAGAATTCTGCATGAAAATAATTAAAGATCAATTAATCTTATGTTGATTTCTGTTTTTCTTTTGCATTTTCAATAAGTCACAATTTAAATGTGTTCAATAAATCATATTGTATAGGGAAAACAAAAGTTACTTATCAATTGCAATTTTTGTTTAAATATTATTTTTTCTTTTTATCAATTCAGTTAATTAAAAGTATTTGATAAACTTTACACTCTACATGTAGTTTGTTACAAAAGGAAATAATATAAAAATAAAAAAGGAAATAACATAAAAATATAAAAGGAATTAATATAGTAACTGTAAATGCCATTTTTTTATTGTAATTTCATTCATCTTTACTGATTTTTTGAAATGAGAGAGTTTTTATATTTTTAAATAATTTATTGACTCATGACATTATTTTTAGTACATTTTTTGTCATATAATTTCTATTTGTGAATCTAGTAAAAATAATGAAATGTTTAATTCATGAAAAACAAGCCATACAATTTTGAATTCAAAAATTTGCTCAGAGAGAATTTTGTTTACAAATTTCAGTGCTATCTGTTTAATTTTGTTTAATTTTGTATGTAATGAAAAATGGCTGTTGTATTGAATTAATCACCCAAGATCAGCACAATCATTGGATTTGGATGAAAAATACAAGTTTCAATGAAGCTATCAATACCTAGAAAATTATTGTGATTGGAACAGAAAGGGTTTTACATCATATTTTACTTCCAAAATGGCCAGATAATTAATGTACACAGAGAGACAAGCTTGAAAGAGTGCATTGGAAAAGCAAATCCTGTTTGGTAAATGAAAAGGTTATCATTTTACAGCATGATCATAATACCCACAAAAGTATTAAAAATCAAAAATGATACATTATTCCAGTTGAATCAATTGAAGAGCTACTGCATCCTGTCTATTCATCTGATATCTTTCTGAGGAATTACTATTTTTTTCAACATACATCTTAACCAATTCTTTATAGGGAAAACTTTATTCAGTCAGGGTCAAATTCAAATTACTACCAATAAATTTATTGATTCTCTTTTTGAATGAAGGAAGATCTCTTTAGGAATGTAATTGATAATTTGCTGTCAGTTTGCCTATATCTTTAAAAATCAATTTTTTACACTGAGTTTTAATTAAATAGAATGCAAGAAAACTTATGTATTCTTACCTGTAGTTTATTAGCTTTGTTAATTCATATTGTTTAAGATCAGCACCCGCAAAGAAAGCATAAAAGACATGAAAGTTTCCTTCACCAGGACATTGATGTACCAATCGAGATTTTTCCAGCATGTAATCTCGAATAATGCCTAAAAAGAAAAATAGAAAAATACCTTCACTTGTCAAGTGGTTTATTCTTCTAAAATATATGAAAAGAATATTGGTTAAAAATCAATTGTCTCTACAGTCCACTTTAATATAATAGAGAATTAAAAATGTAATAAAATGTAGATATAATACTAATGAATTAATTAAAATGATCTATATGACTCCCCTGCAAAAAAAAAAAATATTTTGGTGACCTAGAAGTTTTAATAACCTCAATTTCATGAAATTGATTATTTTAATGAAAAATAAGAATATGTCTTTCTCTTTTCAATCTATTTATGATTTGAAACCAGTATCAAGAAGACAAGTTTATGACAAATCACATTATAGATTCTTAGTTGTCTATGCCTGAGTGGCCAGAATATTTTTTGTTTAATAAGCAATAATAAAAAAAAAAATTATTATATTATCCATTTTATTGAACAACACATCTTATTTTCTTTTATTATGTTCTGCAAGTTTTAGATAACTTCAAAATTTTTAATTTTTCTTACCAAAGAACAGTTTTAGATGATCTCTGTAGTTATCTAAGGAATTTAATTTTTTCATAAAGAGAACTCTGTGAAGATTTGAAAAAATGTGTAATTCTCAGCTGAATATGGAGGATGAGAGAAAGGTTCCCAGCTATGTAGTAACAACAGTTGGCCACCAAAGAAACATGAAGCCTAATATTATCCTGATTAAGAATAATGTACCATCAATGGGATATTATTCTTTATCTCAAAAGCTCCAAAAACAACTTTTATAACATAAATGTGTGATCTACTGATCAATTTGTAATGTATCCCTCTCTTTCCCAATGGTCAATTTACAATGGAAATATCTCCTATACATGTCCAATATTTTTTAACTTTGGGTGATATGGAAAAAAAGAACAAGGAATTGTGATTTGAAAAAAATCTGGAAACCAGTTAAGTAATTCTGGATGATTTTTGCCAATTGTTGCCTTCTAATTGTGAGTGCTTCAAATGAACCATTTCCTTTTTGAGAAACAGCTCACAGTAGAAGATTCTCTTCCAATCCCAATATATATATTCACACCTTGCCTTTGAATGGACTCATCCTGAACACCTACAGTTCCGCCATATGCGAACATCTATTAAATAGCAGAGATTGTGCAGCCAAATTTAGTGTTGACTGGTTCACCGTGTTGTCCCGGTCTCACTCCTTATTTCATCTAAAGGTTCTGGAAGCACTTTACATCGGGTCCCGTAAGCCTTCTTTGTGCAAACAACGTGAGTGTTTGTTGGGACTCACTGTCATTTGTCTCTAGTTCTTTTGCATATTTTTTTTTTTTTTACAATTCCTTTTATTGTACATTTTTCTGTGTGAATTTTAAATCTCCCGTTGAAGCCTGTCTCGTAATATTAAATTTTATACTTTTATTTAAATCATTAAATTTTGTACCTACAAAAATATCTTTTAAATATATTTATATATATATATATATATATATATATATATATATATATATATATATACATATGCAGCATCACTTTCTTGGACAAAGTTTGGTCTTTGTTACAGCTCTTGATAGTTAATTTTGTTTGTCTTTTTTATTCCACATAGTTATAAATTGTCCATTTTACATCACCCATCACAATTTGTTTCAAAAGCAGATATTTTCCTGTTTGCTAATCCAATGCTGTAGTCTGATTTATTAATTACCTTTTTTCTCACTTAAGTGGAAGGCATACATCAAAGCAGCATAATCAAACTAATTTAACCAATTTTCAGAAATTGATTTGATTGTTTTGGGTATGTTGGGAATGTCTTGAATCCTATAATGTTGATTATTCTCAAACAACATTTTACTCAACTGGTCATTGTTCAGCTACAGTTTCTCTATATGAAGCTATGTGAAAAATTACAAAACACAAAACAAGTTTCATTTTTATATTTCTTTAAAAAAAGTATAATGTCCTGAAATTTTATTGATTTTTTTGGTGAATGAAATGAATTAAAATTAAATAACTTTAAGGCCAATGAGCAAAAACAAAACAAAAAAATACTATTTGGCCAAACCAGAAGAGCATGATTTTGGCTTCAACTTTGTGTACCAGAATAGAATAGGAGAATCAAAATGGTGCAATTTGTGTATGTTTGAATCATTAACAAATGAATGTAATTTGAAAGCACTTTACAAAATATAAAACAAAGGAAGATTTTGTAAAAAGTTAGTTTAATTTCAGTATGAATTGGTGAGAATGGTCTTTGTTGAAAAAGAAAATAAAACAAATCTTACATTTTCAAACTTATTTTCCATATATATTTATCAATTTTTCAGTATCATAAATGTATTATTTATGTATCTAGTATGATGAGATATTTATAGGTAATTCGGACAATCAATATGTTTTCTTTTTTGACAAGGGGGTGCTGTAAAATTTAGTCCAACCAAGAAGTGATTAAAAAATTCCAGTGTTTGGTCATTTGTTCAGATTTTGAGAAGTAAGTCAGGTTGAGAACATTTCAGTACCACTTCATATAACTTTTGATTTTACTTTTAATTCAAACTCTTGATAATTGCAAAGCATTATCTCAGGAGTGAAAATTCACTTCAAGGCTGTGTTCTTTAATTCTCTGAATATTACATTTTTCTCTTAATTCTTCCATTCAATAAGAATATCATAATTGTATAAGGCCTCTGTTCTCTTTTTAATATAAAATACTGCATTTCTCATATACATACATAAATCTCCTTATGTGTGTGGGTGTGTGATTTTTATATTTTATGAAGGCTGGTTAAAAATAATTTAATTTTAAAAGTATTACACAGAATTCGAAGAAGCTTTTAACTACAAAAATCTTGTAGCGACACCCTTCTTTTTTCCTACCCATGATACTACTTCAAAATGGCTGCTTCTCTGAAAATGAAGAGCTGTCATAGAATTTCAGTTTAAGAACAAAGTGCTGCATATATTCACAGGTGATTAGTAAATGTTTATGAAAATGTTGCACTTGATGTAAGGAGATGGCAGTCCTAGAGAAAAAGGAGAAAGTTACTTTGGTGGTAAGCCAGCTGCTGCTGTGAATGAAGACCAAATTGGTGATGCTCTCATTACAGCTGACAGAAAAATCATGATAGCAAAACTGTGAAAACCTTCAGGTTAACCTTATGATGGTGCCTACAGTTTAGTATAGTCTCTTGGCTACTCAAAAGGTCTGTCTGAATTGAGTTCTCAAAATACTGTCTCCATAAAGGAGTTAGCATAAATAGCACCTTTCTAAGCAAGATAGTCACAGTGAAGATTACCAGTTAAGCAAAAGAACATCTGGTGAGTGGCACACTACCCAAACTCACATAAAGAAGTTTAAGGCAGAATTTTCTACAGGGAAAATGGCAGTTACTGTGTTTTGGGACCAGAAGGGCGTCATACCCTTAAAGTTAATGGTCAATATTAACGTTACCAATTGTGATTCCTATGGGAGCACATTATCAAAACTTTGAACAAAGCTTCTTTGAGCTAAACCACATTTAGACATTAGTGATATGCTTTTGCAACACGTTAATGAAAGGCCCCACAGCAGCTAAAAGCCTGTCAAGCAATCACAGTGTATGCTTTGTATGCTGTTACTATCAGATGTATTGCAATTAAAGAACAACAAGCATTACTTTTTGACCAACCCTTGTGTAAAGTAAAGGAGAAATTTTCAAATCTGGGTTTTGACTGGTTTGATTTTCTTAAAAAATCATGAACAAAATTTTATTAAATATCTTATTTACATTTTAGCATGAAAATTGTACACAATTCAAAGCTGCTGTGTTGACATAAGTCAATAACGTCTGTCATGCTTACTTTAGAAGAATAAATTTTCTTGATGATCTGAAAAGGTTACCTTCATTTACTGTAATTACCAAAGGTACATAGTGTCAAGTCCATAAATTATATAACTAAAAATTATGATTTGACACTAATTTCAAAATTTAAATAGAGATAAATGGTAAATCAAAGACCATATTAATCTAAATATTTTTATATATTTTAAATAACTACAAATATTTTAACAAGCCTAAAATTTTAGATTAATATTCTCTTTGGTTTATCATTTTCCTTATTATAAAACTTGGATTAAATTTGAAATCTCAATTTATATAATTTTAAGGCACTTGATACTATATGCCTAAAACATTTGCTCAAGACTGTGCAGAATTTGAACAGATGAATTTATGAGGGAGAGTGTTTTTTTCATGAAAACTGGTATGCAGGGCCAATTATTCAGGGCTCTATGTCTGCTCAAGGGCCCATAAAATAAATTAACATAAAATTTATACATTAGTTAACATTAGAATTGTCTTGATCTCTGTTACCTGAACCCATGTTGAGGCATTTCAAATAGAACTTGTTTTGACATACTGTTTGAAAATCTTATAACTTTGTACAAAAGAAATGTTCCAACACACACACACACACACACACACACACACACACACACACACACACACACACACAAACCTGCTACAACTTTCAATATCATTTTTAAGTAATTCTTTTGAATTATTGCTGCATATGTTAGTATTTCATTTCCATTTCCAATTTTTTTCCTTTTAAATGTTTTCATGATTCAAATTATTTTATTTAATTTTTTATTTTCTGTTTAAGAACTTAATTAAATTTAAAGCTTTTTTAAATAAATCTTGTTAGAAAATAAAAATGTAACAAAAATAATCAAACTTTATTCTCTGACATAAGTAAAAAAAATCGTTTGACTCTCAAATATATTTGGAATATTTTTTGCTTTCTAAAAGAACTGTAATACTTTGACCCAAGCATGAAATATTTTTTATAAAAAATCTTATTATTTTTTACCTCCTGTTACTCTTCCTTCTGTATTAAAACATATTTCTGTGTATTTGCCAAAGCGGCTAGAATTTCTGTTCATAGCTGTTTGTGCATTGCCAAATGCTTCTAGCAATGGGTTCACCTAAATCAAAGAAAAAATTAATACCAAAAATAATTTTCTTTTATAAAATATGCAAATGAAATCAAAGGAAAAATATATTAAAAATTATAAAATATAAATTAATGAATATTTAAACAGTTTCTTTCCTGACATGATTTATTTCGGAGAATACAACATTATTATATAATATTGTATTAGAAATCCACTATTCCTTAAGTGAATTTTAATTAAAGATTGATAAATTTTAAATCGAGAGATAATGCTATCTTATTAGAAATCATGAAAAGTATAGAATTAAAAGAAAATAATAAAATTTACTGATAGTAAAAAACTGCAAATATCATCTAAATAGAAATAGTTGAGATCAAAAGATTCATTTCTCAAGATTTACTTTGGAAAGAGATTTTGAAATTAATATTCTAAGGCGCATTACGGGCGTCCGGCAACGGTGAACGAAGGCCGGCCAACAACTTTGACAGAAAGTGCATTACGGGAAAGAGATTAAGGTGCATTACGGGAAAGAGATTACTGTATATACTTGAGTACAGTGCAAATTTTTATGATCAGTTTTTATCCAAAAAATAGGGTGAGGTTCCCATTATACATAGGTAATTTTTTTTGAAGAGGTTAAAAATCATGCATTTTACTGGCTGGTTGCACTATACACATGTAAATTTTTCTGGAGGGGTTAAAATTCATGCAAAAAAATGTCAGGGATTGCACTATACATAAAGCTGGCTTATACAAAAGTATATTTGGTATTTAAGCAATGGAAACTCAAGTTCTGTGTTTTCAAAAGAAAATTCCTAAAATGAATATGAAATTTAAATGATGTTCATAGGAAACGTCATTGATAACATAAGGAAAATATATGAATGGATACAAAAAACTATGTTAACATCTTCACAGATGGCTCAAAATATCTATTTGAAAAAAAAATTATTTACTTGGATGATTTTTTTTTGTAATGGTGAATCCTTGTTTCCCAAGCTTGAATACATGAGATGTCGTAACATATATTTAGTGCTTTCTGTCTTTCCTGAACCAGATTCTCCACTGACAATAATTGCTTGATTTGTGTGTGATTCAAGCATATTCTGAAAGGCACATTCAGCTGTGTAAAAGATGTGTGATTTGAGGGTCTTGGACCAATATTCGTGTTTATAAAGCTCATGGTGCTGGAAAAAAATGAAAATAACATTCATGAAACCTTGCAATTGGTAGCATTTTATTAAATCAGAGAAGAAATTGCATAATATCACTCTATATATAAAACTAATATCTCTCTATATATCATAATATCTTTCTATATAAGACTATATTTGTGTCAATGTATCTGAATGGTGAGAATAGAAACTCAAAGGTTTTCATTTCTACTTGCCTTCATTTATCTATAAAGCAAAAAAAAAAAAAATAAATTGGATTTATATTTCTTTCAATTTGTTATATTTTTGATGTTTGTAGAAAATGAATTGTATCACTATTATTAAATACACTGAAACTTTGTGTTGTTGCCCTCATCTTGTACCCGCCTATCCCACTTTATTGGGGCTGCTGCCATTTCGTCCAGCAAATCTTTTTTGTTGTACAAAAATGCACGTCGTTTTTATGAAATAAAACTGACATCTGATAAAAATATAAACCTTCATCTTTTGTACCATCATTGTCTTGGCTGTTAACACCTTTCTTTGAACATAAATTAGCTTGTGGGGTCAGCACCCTTTACTGGCCCCTCAAATTTCACTTGTAAATTCAATGTTTATAAATTGTTGCTACAAAAAATATATATTGTAGTTTTAGCCAAATTACTTTTAAAATTCATGTAAGTTATTGACTATCATATTTCAGCACATTGTTTCATTTATTTTAACTATCCACATTTTAAAATACATGTGCCACTGCACTTTCAATATAGATGTATTTATAAATAGATTAAATAAAAAGTAAATTACGTAAATTATATGTATGAGTGATCACTAAAGAGAAGAGAATTTAATGAAAAATAAATAATGATATTATGAATTACAACAGTTATCAGTAGAAATATTCTTTTCTTAAACAAAATGTTGCTGAAATGTTTTAATCAGATTTACTTGGTTTCCTATCTTCACTTGAGATTTTACATGGAATCTGAACTAATTCCATTTTTTATTGTAACTATACATTCTTTGACTCTGAGTAAATATTTTCAATATATCCTAACACCTGTGCCAATTGTTAATTATTAACAAACATTATAAACTTTAATGACAATTGAATATTAATTGACAATTTTTTGGACATTTTCTTTTTCATTCAAATCCAAATGATTTCTCAAGCAAAATAATTAATGATTTGACATTACACATTTCCTAATTTCATTTATTTTAATTGATATTCTATTACTGTATAAAGTACAGTAAATAGTCTTCTTCTATAGTCTTATACTTTTAGTAATTTAGTACAACTTATTTTTATATCTGGTCATTCAGCCACATAGACACATGCAAATACACATACAAAACAAAGTGTAAATAGATGACCCACTTCACACATGCCACTGACAAATATTGATTCAGGAAGTGTTTTTAAATTTAAAACATTCTTATGTCATTATATTTACCAACAAAAATGACTAATCTTTTTTTTGTTTGCAAAATTATTCAAAATAAAAAAACTAAATTTATATTTAACTTTTTTTCACATTTTCTTGCTTTTCAAATAAACTTTAAACATTAAGAACTTCATACATATGTTAAAGAATAAGACATTTAATTATTTTTCCTGTTGATTTTTGGACTGTTACAAAATATTTTGTAATTTTGTTTTATTTGCAAAAAAAAAAATAATTTTAACTCACATATTCAGTGTATATTTTCAAATCACGAAATGGATTGACAGCAATGATAATTTCACCACATTTTGTCTGAAATAAATAGAATATTAATGCATAATCAATATCAAATATTCCTTTGTTTTACCTCAAAATCTGAATTGAATTTTCAAAGACTTTGTTTCAAAGTCAGTGATAACCAAAAGATTGACATCCTTTTCTTTAAAAATGAAACATTTGATTAAAATGTTATTTTTCTTTAAAGTAACAATTAATATAAAGACATGTAGATTTTATAAATATAAATTTTATTTATTTATTTATCCTTCACAAAAAACATGAGAGCTTTTAAATATTAACAATGAATAAAAAGCATTTTTTCAATAAATTCAACCAAAAATCTGTAACAATTCCTGAAGTTATAAATAGACATTTTTTAATGTTTTGATTTACTTTAGTAAATTGCTATCTACAGCAAAATCATCAACAGTGGATTCCTAATAAACAAACCACCCAAATAAAATCAAGACAAATTTTTATCTTTTTCATCACCTAGCTATTTCACTTTTAAAAATTTCTTTGATGAACCATTGAAATTAGTATTCATTTTTCATTTAGTATTTCTTTTCTCTTAATGTAAATTTTTTTCTTTTCTCTTAATGTAAATTTTTTTCTTTTCTCTTAATGTAAATTTTTATCAGTCCGGAATATAGAGAGTAGTTTCACAAATAGCTTAGAATGACCTTAACCAGAAAGTTTCCAAGACCAAATCTGTAAGGCAGATGTGGTTAAGACAGGTTTCTCTGAAGGTTTTCTATTTATTTCTGTTCTATGTGTCCTGAGAATTGCATTATTGCAATTCTCAGGACAGTCACTGAAATTAAAATGAAATAAATTTTAAAAACTAACAACTCATTAACCAGTTTTTCTCACATCTGTTGTTTGATAATCAGTTCTCTGCCAATATAAGGCAAATGCTGATAAAAATCATACACACACACACACACATATACTATAAAAATATTAGCTGTAAAAGAAAAACTCGAAAGCACAATGTATAAAATTACAAAATCTGAAACTAAACAAAATCTCCTTCAATGTTAGAATTTTTTCTTTTTCAATCTATAAAACAATTCACAAAACATTTGGTCAATGAAGAATCGTGCTTGAAAGTAAGATGTTTACTATATCAACAGTTATGTTGAGTTTTACAGTATTTCAGTATAGAAAAGAGGACATGTTTACAGAACACAAAATCTTGAAAATGACCATATATATATATATATATATATATATATATATATATATAAGAAACTACCTAAAGATTAACAAAATTTGGGCAGTGCATATAAACTGCAATTGTTTTTTTTGTATCTACATGTGTAAAGGAGATGATGCAAATGGAGTTTTAGAAGTCATTTTCTTTCCTAATCAACAAAATTTTTAAGAAGCACCTTGTATTATTTATTCACTTTTAATTAATAATTATAGAACAATAGTTGAAATGGTGCATACAATTCTTTTGACAAATTCAATTTAGCTTTTAAATCTGCATGTTTTATATTAGTTACTTGGCTTTGCATTTAAGAAAGAAAGACACAAAAAGTTACTCTAGAAATATTAATAAGTGAATTGTAATTTGTTCAACAATTATCATTTGACATTTTCCTATTTCATTCTTCAATAACTATAGTTATAACTATGCAAGTATTGCTGGGGTTATTCCCTCTTCCCTATATATTGCTTCTGGTTTTTGATAAAGAATGTTAAAATAGCAATGAATGTATTTAGTACAATTAACCTTTAAGTTTATTCTTCTTTAATTACTGTGATGAACATGGCATTATTTCTCTGTTCATTAAAAATGTCAATATTAGTTCCAATCTTTACAGGAATGACTGCAAAAAACATCCCCTTCCCGAAATTTATAGACAAATCCTGTAGATGCATGCTGGGATTTCTTCCTAACCAATAAAAAGTGGACTAATTCTCAATCTCATCCATCATATTTTGTTCTTTTTGTCTTTAAGCTAGAATACAATAATTACTTGACTGTATCCCATTTGCATGTTAACACCATTCTTACTTTGTGAACTTTTTGCCTAATTACTGTTGCTTTGCCTAGTTTGGATTTACAAATATAGTGTTTGTTTAGTATTATTTGGACCTGTTCTTTTTCTAATTGTTTATTGAGAACTTTGTTAATTCCATTTGTTGATCATTTTTTTTACTCATTTCACCCCCAAGCAAGGCAATAAAGCTACTAAGACACAAGAAGTTACTGAGTGTTAGAGAATATGAGAAAAAATTAAGGAGAAAGAACATTAAAAGAACAAGAATTGAGAAAACAGTAGATAACAATTGCATTTAAATTTTTAAAGATCAAGATTGACTGGGAAGCAAGAAATTGGAAGTTCCACAAGCCAGAAGTGCAATAGAAGAAACTGTTAGCATAGGATTTACAATTACATCTAGCAGCCATTTCAACTATAAAATGATCAGACTTTGTTGCCAATTTAGTATTGTGTTTAAATTCATAAAATCTAGGTACCATAGCAGAAAGTTCATCAGAACTATTACCATGAAATGGTAAACTTCTGAATATGTAAGATAGATTCTGGTGAGAAAAATAGTCTAACATGTAACAGGGAATCAACTTTCCTAGCAGCAGACCTAGCAGAACTGATTCAATATAATCTTGCCACTTCATATCAGAGGAAAATGTTAGTCCAAGAAGGCACAATGAATCACTTTCCTTGAAGTTAGCATCAGCCATGCTGATGGAAAATAAAAAGGATTCTCTCAGATGATTAAAAGAGAGCAGTTTCATTTTGGAGGCATTAAAATTAACAAGCCATTCCTTACCCCACTGAACAACAGAATGTAGATGATTTTTTTTTAGTTCAGCTGACAATTTGACCTTATCAAACCACTCAGATTTACTATTAAAACAGGAATAAATGGTTGTGTCATCAGCATAGATAATGAGTTAAGAACTGATTACATCAGAAAAATCATTTACTAATTACACTTAACCATGGCTAATTAGTCCACAAACATGCATCAGAATAATATTTTGTAATAAATTTATATTTTCTCAGTGATGACTAAAAATTTTGATAGACATAATCAGTGAATGATAGCAAAACATGAATTCAGCTGATGATAACACTAGAGAACAAATTTCAATTTTTTGTTTATTGAATTAGATTTGACAGTTCCATGTAAATTGGGTGCGTTGCTCAGCTTTGCTCTATCAGGTCCTGATTTTGCTCAATAAACTCTCCTCTTTTGTTGTATTCTTAAAAAGGCTTTTCTCAATACTCACTAAGTCTTTTTGCAGTTACACATTATGCAATAGGTTTTTTATCTAGGTATTTGTACCTATTGCTATGGTATTGTTATATTATGTATACTTTTATATGTAACACTAAAAATATTCTTAAGTTTTGTCATTTTTAACCCATTTTTTTGTTAGTAAATTAAACTAAAAATATCACAGAATTCTGGAATTTTCTCAAGCATTTCTGTTTTCAGTAGAATATTCTAGAGGGACAACTAAAATATATAAACTCAGTCAATTCAATCAGTCAGTTAATTATGTTTGGGCATTAACATAATTTTGAATTGACATATGGTATAGTGAGTCATATTGTCATCGTGATTTAATAGATGATTTAATTAGACCTAATTTATATCCGTGTTTCTAGTTTAATTTCATAGATTTTAAGTGCCTATTTCATAATAAGACCCTATTAAAACCAATTTCCCACGATCCACAAATAAGAACATTAATTAAAGACAGCAATTTTTCTAATGTCATGAATGAACGCGTTTTAGGCAATTATAGAGCAGATAACTACGAAGAAATCATAAAAAAATTGGGACTACAAAGAATTAGGATGAAATATGAATGTAAAAATGTATTTTTTGAGTAGCCATCTTGACCAATTTCCAAGTAATTTAAGTGATGTAAATGACAAACAAGGGGAGAGATTCTACCAAGATATCAGAATTATGGAGGAACGGTACCAAGGCCACCAGGTATCTTACCTCGAAGGCAGAAAGGAAGGGAATTTTAACGTTTTTCTCTATACAAAATACGGCAGCGCTCGGAGAACTCAATTCAACTTTATATATATATATATATATATATATATATATATATATATATATATACATAATTACCATAAAATAAAACTAATCAAAAAGAAAGCAATTAAATTTTAGGTTGATGTAAAAAGTTCCCAGCACCAGTTTTCACAATGTTAGGGAAATTTAAGATGCGTCTTTGCCATTTAGTCAATTTATTGCTTGTGCAGGTATAGTTTCCCAAAATTGTTTGCAGAAAATTGATAATTTTATTTCGGTGAAAATTAAAGCTGAATTTGAAGTTATTATTTTACTATTTTATCTTTAAGGGTCAAATGTTACTGACAACACTTTTTAATTTGTTGCCAAAATTATTTTACATTTTTAACCTCTTTGTTGTGGAAGCTCCCACTCCTTAACAGGCACACGCGCGCGCACACACACACACACACAGATTCTTGGGGTTAAACAACAGTTTGTAGTGTTTTTCAATTTGAACACCTGATTTTGTTTCACACGTAACTGAAATTTATGACAAAGAAAGGTATATTTTAATTTAAAAGTGAAAACGGAAGAAAATGAGATGATCTTTTATTTTCAGAATGGAAAATAATGCTGTACAATCAGAAAACAAGATATGTGCCATTTTTGAAGACGGTATCATAACGTAGAGTACTGTTCATAAGTGGTTCGCTAGGCTCAAGTGGAAATTTTGTTTTGGAAAACTAAAAATGTTCTAGCACTCCTGTAGTCACTGATGATAACCAAATGGAAATGCTGATTACAAATAATCTAGGTCATACGACACGGGACATCACAGAGATACTCCACCTATCTTATATGAGCGTCGTAAGGTATTTGAAAACATTTGGATATATGAATTCTTAGGTGACTCATGATATAACAAGGGAATACATTTAATGGATTGCATTTCCTGATATACTCTACTGAAATGCACTAAAAATAACACTTAAAAAACACCGCTTATGGTGAAAAAATGG